AGTATGAAACGATGATCCTATTTGTGACATCACTCTCTGATAACTGGCTTTGCCTGTAGAACAAAGTCTCAAGAGGAAACATTAATCCTACCACCAAGTCATTCCAGTTTCCTTTCTATACAGCGACTAAGAGCCACATTAATACATTCACATGAACTCCATAGAATTTTATTATGTCAGGGAAAATGTCAGCCCCTCTGACTAATTAATCCAGCCTACCTGGAAGGCTGTTGAAACACAAAGTAAGTGCTGTCCCTTTGGAAACATTGCTGGAGACCAGCTTCAGCTGGTGACTGATTGCTGGGTACAGTGAGTGAAACACAACTTCACAGCAGGAACCCATGTACAGCTTCAGTGCCAGCCCCAGCCAATCTACCCCTGCTGTTGTCCTCTTGCCCCCAGCCAGTCCCCACTGCTGCTCACCATAAACCCTGGAGCCCACACACCCACAGAAAAAGCCATCACCTGTCACAACAGGGCCATAAAGCCAACAAAAGATTAAGAAAACTGGTTTGGCCTCAGCCAGCTCACTTATCCAACACATCCCGTGGTTCCACAAGCACTGGGGTCGTTGAAAACGTGTGGTTTAGGATGACAGGAGGAAGGTGGTGCTGCCAGCTCTTTTGACTGCAGCGTGCAATTAGAGTCACTTAAGCTGACTGTGGAACTACAGGGTATTTTGATTTCCGTCCAATGCTCATAGAGGGGAGAAGGGTGAGGGCAGCCTTAAAGTACAAAAAGCCTCTTGTTTTTGTGAAGGATCACAGTGGTCTACCCATGAGACGACTTAAGATGTCCATGGACATGAAGTGGAGAAATGGCTGGTAGAGAGAAAAGGTCCACAAACTGAAAAGTTGAAAGTCACACTGTAGAATCATCCCTTATCCATCTAGATTCTACATGAGGCTAGATAAGCCATTTAAACATGTGGTCCTTGTTAGTTTATTCTCAATTTCCCTAGTGCCTGACAGGAGTCCTAGGGCCAGTCACATGGCTGTGACAGAAATCAATGTTTCCAAAGGTCTCTGTGCAATGAGGAGCTGCTGTAGCCCTGGTGAAAAATGCAGGGAGGATGCAAGGATGCATCCTTGTAGCCACAAGGTCTCTCCAGCTGATGATGGGACAAGATTTGGGCAAACAGGGAGGATGCAGGGATGCAGGGGTGCAGTAGCCACAAGGTCTCTCCAGCTGATGATGGGACAAGATTTGGGCAAGCTAAGGAGCATATCTCCTTCTCCATGCAGAGCAGCTCTGTCTGAGTTGACCTTATATTAGTCATTATCTCCCAAAATTGGTCTGAAAACTTGTGTTTTGTTTTCTTCTCTTCTCCTGTCCAGAGTTAGAAATGCAGAGCTATCTCCAAAAACTTGTGTTTTGTTTTCTTCTCTTCTCCTGTCCAGAGTTAGAAATGCAGAGGTGACCCAGGGTCTGGTTGAGACCCCAGCACACCAAATTCCTGGCAGGTCTAGGTCACAGTACCAGGAAAGCCCATTTCTGATTTACCTCAGGCACTGCCAGTGCCAAGGAAGAATAAAAACCAGGCAGTGCTGCACAGGTTCCCCATTGCTCAGGGGTATAATGGATTAAGTAGTGAATGCATTAAATGATCCCTAACTATAATTAGCTCCCTCTGTGCTTGTAACGCTACAGTCTCATACAAATGGTTTCTAATGACACATGCAGTGCCTAGGAACAGGGTAATAGCTATTTAAGCAGTTGCTGATCCTTCAGCTGGTACATGACAGTGTATTTTACAATTATTGAGAAACTTTGGACATTTTTTAAAAGTGCTCTGTGCATTGACCTAGAGAAATCTTGGTTAGAAGAGAGCAGAGAGGGTGCCCTTTCCCTAATGGTAACAGACAGACAATGATCTAGGTGTCAGGCATTACTGCTGCCCCAGTCCTGATCATCCCCATTACCACTCTTCCCTGCAGTATGATTAACAAAACAGATAGCCAGCTCCCAAATTCTGCCCAGTACAGGAGAGCCAAGACACTCTTCTGAAAAATACTCCTATATGTACATACATACATAATGTTCAGGCATGAAAGCTTGCTCATTTAGTACTGCACCGTAAACTCATCAGTGAGAACAGACCCATCAAATGTACCCAGACAGAAAGGCTGCTGGCCACACTGAGCAGCTGGAGCTTCTGTGCATGTACCAGGTTGCCAGCTCAAGGGCTGAAGACTGCAGTTTCAAAATTCAAGATGCAATGACTGTTTTAAAATAATAATAATAATCTCTTTTGATCTTGTTCCTCGAGCTAAGGATAATAATGAGATTTTTTATTCAAGAACAGTCTTTTGGCTCGAGAAGCACAGAAAATTGCAGATCTTGTGAATTATGAAGCCCAAAAGCAAAAGCTCAAAATAAAACAACTTTGCAATTTCAGCTAGTCCAGTAATAACCAGCCAACACACTGTTGATATTTTATTCACCAAAAATAAGCAGAAAGAATGCCACATTTTCTGAAAAGCACATAATGCCAAAAGAAACATTCATTTATTTCATGAGATGAAATTTGTACTCCATTAGAAGTTTGATTTTAATGAAGACAGTGTGTCATAACACATTTCACCTGACCTTGAATTGACAACATGCCTTATTCACTTTGGTGCTCAGGTTTCACTTCACAGGAAATGGAGAATAAATTTAATTTCATCTTTCCTAAGCACATGCACTCATACATACATGCTAATTTTAATGTGATTTGCTGCTATTTGAATACTACAGGTCTGCCTCAGCACACAGAGCTGCTGCCAGCAAAGCCTCATCTGCCCACTGAAGGCAAGACAGGGTGAATGACAGAGGGAAAAAGGGGAGTCCTTCAGCCACCCAGTTCCAAGAGCTGACACTTGAGCCAGTAACTGAGGTTTTCTGCCAGTTTCCTAATTCACATGGAGCCTCAGTCAGACAGGGAGTGAATGTATATGGCTGCAAAGCCATACTAAAACCTGCTTCACTGCAAGGAAGACATAAATACATTTCATTTCAGCTCTTTACTCAAAGCAATATCAGAGGGAGAAGCAGAATTGCAGGTTTTCAGGTAAGCAGTATTTCTCCATTTTCAATTTGGAGGGTTCAAGATTGTGGTGAAGAACTGATCAGCAGTGCAAGAAAGCCAAACTGGGGATAAATCAAATATTCTAGTAAATTTGTCTAACATGATATGAAATATACTGGAGAGGCATAAATGTGGGTGACAGTGGTATCACTGAGCAGCAGAAAAGAGAGAAAACATGCACACCCCTAGCTTTTGTGATTGTAAATCTGGATTGGTTTAAAACAAGCTTGACAGCCTTTCCCTAGTACATCTTTTACTGCAAAGCTTCTATACCAAATCCAATACTCATGTTAAAAAGTATTAGCATTTTAACTAAATCGTGGGGAAACTGTTCAGATTTCACTCTGAAGTGCTTCTGAGTAACAAAGAGATAATCATCTTGCTGAGTTGTTATGATCAAATAATGCCCGTTGTGTCCCAGATTTAATGAATGGGTTTGTCAGAGCAAATTGTTCATGTTCTACCAGTTATTGGGATAAGGAACAGTCATTCAGGTAACATGTTGAATGCTGTGAACTGAATCACATTTTCCAAGACTTTTTTACAGGTATAGTGGGTTTTTTTGGGTTTTTGTTTTGTTTTGGTTTGTTTTTTTCTAATGTGTTGATTTCACCCTGGATGTTTCATGTAGCACTGGTTAAGTTTAAAGATGCTGTTTCTGGGACAAGAGAGGATCTAGGCTTGATAATACCCTGTCTAGCACTTTATGAACTTTCTTTAGAATATTTTCTCCCATGGAATTGGTTCAAATCTGGAAGAGTGGTACTCACCTGAAGTGCTGAAGACACACAGTGGCACAGCTCTTGCCTCACTTGAGATATCCAAGGCTGAACTAGTCACCTTGGGCTACCTTTTGTATCAGTGGAAAGAAATAGGTATGCCAAAAGAGTAAATAATTTGTCTTAGAAACCTCAGTTTTGGGTAGATACATTATGTCTTGGAGGAACTTACTTCTGTCCTTTGATGATAAAGTGAGGCTTAGGAGGACTGGCTCCAATTTAAGCATTTAACTTTCTGATACCTGAAGTTAGATGATCTTCATGTTTTCAGGTTAAAACACTACCAAGAAATGTTATGTCTTTAACTCTCTGTGGAGAGATCCAAATCGGCTATGTCAAACAAGAAATCATTTCAGAGACAAGTCCACCTAGCTCCAATTGGCATAGAGTGGGAAGTAAGCTTTCCCTCTGTCCTTTCCATTTTCCCTCTTCCTTTGAGAAACAGTCTTTAATAAAGTAAATCAATTTCATGCCACTGCGGAGCTTGATTAAAAAAAACCAAAATAAAATAACACCTCTCCTCCAAAAAACAACCCTCCAAAAAACCAAAACCAAAACATTTATACTACTTTTATACTCTGATGACTCCAAGAGAACAAAATCATGTTCAGGGAGCAATCTGTCAGGTTACAGGGGCATCAGGTCTTGAGATCTGTAACTAAACCTAACATTGTTTGGCTTTCATGAATGCAGAATGACATCTCTGTTCCATGAGCACAAAACACTGATTAGCTCAGATTAGTGAAGATAATATATGGATATGGTTCTACATTCTGAAAGGTTAAGACTAGTTCACTTGCAAAATCTAAGCCCAAACTCCCTCTAGCTCTCTAAATGTGTGCTTCCTACTCCTGAAGATTTGCAGATAAGCAGTAATTGTCTTCTTCAATGAAGGAGGCTAAACAAAGAGAGAGAAAAATTAATAATTATCAAAATTAAATGTGAAAGAGAGGAAAGAGTGAAATTAAACATTTCAATGGTGTTATCTAGGTCAGACTGGGTACATTAGCAAATCCTCATTTCTTCTCACTACTGTGCCTTCCCAAATGTACATTTTCTCCAGCAACAAAAGGTTTAACTGACAACATTTGTTCCAACAAACAAATTAAAAGTAAACATCTGATTTTTGTCTTAAGGAGACTTCTGCAAACATGGCATCTGAACGCACCAGCAATTTTACTGCTCAACCCAGCTCTGCAGACCGATTGACAAGCTGCAAGGATGAAGATTTCTTACAGGAGAAATTGTATGTCTCTGTCCTTTACAGCCTAATCTTCCTGGTGTGCTTTCCAGGAAACATTGCAACAATTTTTGTTTACTGTGTCAAGATGAGGCCCTGGAAAAGCAGCACCATCATTATGTTGAACCTGGCTATCACTGACCTACTCTATGTCGTCACACTTCCTTTCTTTATACACTACTATGCTAATGGAAACAACTGGATTTTTGGAGACTTCATGTGCAAATTTATTCAGTTTTGTTTCTACTTCAACATGTACAGTGGTATTTTCTTCCTTAGCTGCTTCAGCATCTTCCGCTTTATGGTAGTTGTGCGCCCAATGAAATCCATTTTTCTTCGGAAGCGGAGATGGGCAGTGGTGACCTGCGCAGTCATTTGGATGGTTTCCCTGGTGGCCCTCAGCCCCTTGGCCATCCTGATTGTCCCAAGTGACAGGCAGAACAAGACCATCTGCCCAGACCTGGTTGCTGCTGATGACTTCATCACAAGTCGCTGGTACAACTGGGCACTGACTGTGTTTGCCTTCCTCTTGCCCTTGCTCACGGTGACTCTGTGCTACATGCTCATCTTTGGCATCTTGGCCACTGGGCTCCACACACAGGCTAGCTACAAACAAAAGGCTCGCAGACTCACTGTTCTCCTCTTGCTGGTCTTCTACGTGTGCTTCCTGCCCTTCCATGTCATTAAGGGGATTCATCTGGAGCTCCGAGTACAGCCAGTTAGCTGCCACTTGAAGAAAGCTATCCTTTTAATGTTTATTATAACTAAACCTTTATCAGCATTAAATACTTTTGGAAATTTGCTGTTCTATGTAGTGTCAGGAGATAACTTCCAGCAGGTGATACTCTCGCTCTTCAAGGTTTGGACAAAGAAGAGTTTGAAGTAGAAGAAATTGATGCAGTTTAACATTTATGGAGGAAGGATTGAAATCTGCCCTCAACCAGCCAAGCACAATCTCCCTGCCATTAGATTACTCAGGTTAACCCAGCCAGTGCCAAAGGAGAGTTAATCTGTTGTGGGTTACAAAGTGATCATCAAAGGAGAAAATTTATGATTAAAAATAAAATGTTTTAAATAAAATACTAATAAATAAAATGTGAAACTTCTCAGAAATGTGTCTGCAGTTGCTTCCTGAATCCATGGTAGCTCTTTTGGAGAATGGCCTGTTCTGGAAAAAAATACTAGTCTATTAGTGGAAGATAGAGATTCAGGATGGGAGTAATGCTAAATTAATTTTATTAACTTAAAATATAAGTGTAGTCTGAGCTAGAGATCTGTCTCACTTTCTTCCTAAGTCATGGAGACCGGTAAGATCCTCTGGAGATCAAAACCTGTCTTAGGCCTGTAAGAGGTTCATCTCACCTCCCTGGAGACATTGACAGGGTGGGCGTGTGCATATAGCACCTTGTCCTCATTTTATAATTTTCCATTATAATGGAAAGAAATAAGCAGTCTTAGAGTGTGGTTCATTGAATTATTCTTGATGTCTGCATTTGGACAAGGTGAATCCTGACCTAGAAGTGCCTGTTTCTCTCCACTGACTGTAAAAGGTAAGTAGATCAGACACAGACTCAAATGTTCGTGCCTGCTTTTAAAGAGCTGAGGCACAGTTCTAGTACTGACTTTTGGCAACTCCAGAGGTTTCCAAAAGTGCAGGTTGCACCATAAGACTCCATTCAGTGCCTTTAGTGATTGCCTAAAGAGTGATGGTGGGGTAATACAAGATCACTCTTACAAGGATTTCCCACACTACTGATACAGAATCTGTGGAATCATAGAGCAGTTTTTCTTGGAAGGGACCTTTAAAGGCCACAGACTCAGTCCCCCTGCAATGAGCAGGGACATCAACTAGACCAGGCTGCTCAGAGCCATGTCAAGCCTGATCTTGAAACTTTTCAGGGGTGGGACATCCACCACCTCTCTGGGCAACCTGTGACAGTGTTATACTATCCTGATTGTAAACAATTTCTTCCTCATATCTAGTCTGAAATGGCCCTATTATAGTTTTAAACCATTACTCCTTTTCCTATGGGTAAAGTCCCTATTGAAAATATCTCCTGATTTTTCTTATAAGCCCCCTTTAAGCATTGAAAGGCTGCAATCAGGTCACCTTGAACTTTCTCTACCACAGGCTGAACAATCCCAACTTTCTCAGCCTTTCCCCATATGAGAGGTGTTCCTGCCCCCTGATTATTTTTATGGCCTACCTCTGGACTCTATCCAGCACTGGGGCTCCAGACCTGGACACAGCACTCCAGGTCTCATGAGAGTGGAGCAGAGGGGCAGAATCCTCTGCTGGCCCCATTTCTTTTGATGCAGCCCAGGATATGGCTGGCTGTGAGCCTGCACTGCTGGCTTGTTTTTCATTCACCACTACCACCAAATCCTTTTCCACAGTTCATAGGAAATCAAAATAATTTTTGCCCATTACATTATTCAGTGAAGCTCTTCTTGGTCACACCAAGTAAGGAACAGCTTTAAGTAATAGCATATATTACAGGCAATATGGGCTGTCTCAGGGGGAAAAAATAGACTTATAGAAAAGCGTGAGTCCAATACTTGAAGATATACCTAGAGAGGTCCCAGTACCAGCTGAAGTACCCTGGCCAACAGCAGTACAAAAATATTAGCAACATAATATTCAGAGCCCAAAAGTATGATCACAGAGTGAATCCTACAACACATTTTTATAACAGCCTTATTTCATGTTTCATTACTTTTGCTCTCTACCCCAAAATGTCCATTAATCAATGGGAATACGTGCTGCCTCAAGCTTCTCTTGCAACCCTTCTCCTTATGCAACCCCTGTATGCAGCTCTATGGGCTGTTCTTCCAGTGACCACCAGACCAAGACCTCCAGAGCACCACCCCCATTAAGCACATGTCTGAGTGACTGGCAAACAGCCTGTGACTCCCCTGTGGCACAGGGAGCCCATTTCCTGCCTATCCCACAGCCAGCTTGGGAAGAACAAGAGCAAACAGAAAGGAGCAGGTTTGCTGAGGGAGTGAGAGGAGATAAGAAACCATCCCTGACATGGGACGGAGCAAGATGGGGAAAGGAGCAGCAGCATTTCTCTGGGCTAGGGCAGAACATGCCTGTGAAGAAAATATTCTGTCAGAAATCAGAGGAGGAAGCCATTTTGCTCCCAAAATGGGCCATTGTATTTTAATCCAGCCTTAGCTACTCCTCAAGGTGACTTCAAAAACTTCTGCACAGCACAGCATGATTTCCCCTGAGACCACTGTCCAGCCTCAAATTGTGCATGAGGTCTTATGGTGAAGAAGGAAGCTAGGCATTAGAGGTGTTGCATGATGCAACCATCCAAAAGATGCAAAGAAAATGCCTCCCACAACACATGCATTGATTTTGACAGTCTTCCAAGGGCAGCTCCTCCTTCTCCACTACACTTGCAGTGCTGCTCTCAAGCACTTGCTCCTGAAACACCAGACACAGAAGACACACCTTGAGAAGGCAATGATGAACATGACATTTTAGCTGTTTTTAAATTTTAAGTTATTCTATCAAAAAACCACCACTTTTGGAGGTTTTTTAAAGTAAAATCAGGCTTATACATTATCTTTTAAGCCTCTACTGCATATCAACACCAAAGTTTTATTAACTCAAATCAAGTCCTACTTTATTCAGCTTTAAATAAATCTCTGTATTAGCCCCCCTTCAGCTCTACTTGATGTTTTCTGGATCAATTACTCATACATCCAGGCTATGTACTCTTTTTATAAATGGAAGATGCCTAGAACATTTTTCAGGGATGGGGCATCCACAACTTTGTGAACCTTTTTACACAAACAAGGGAGAAACCATTTCAAGGAGAAACCCAGGTGCTGCCTTGAGCATGACAGTGGCAGATTGCTGCCATATTTTGATGCTCAGATTTTTGGCGTACTCTAATAGCAACTTGGGTCTCCAGGACCTCACAACAGTGCCACTAAAGAAGAGAACAAGGCTAGTTTTGTAAGGTGTACAAAGTGCATTTTATCCCTACCTCTGAGGAGACAGAAATGTCCATTTTAAGACTTCTTAAAGAGCCCAGCAGATAGTCCAAGCCTACCTAATAAAATGCCCTGTACTTTCCAATGACTTGTGTGGGGGCAGGAGGGCAGAAGGGACAATGAAATAGGGAGGGGAGGAAAACCCATATCAACTTTGCTGATACTCTCATCTTGTCTGAATGAATATGATACACACACACACTCTTTCTTTTGCTTATTTAATATAGTTTTCATATTTCTCTGGCAGCTTGTGCTCTGGGATACCTCTGCAGACCCCACAAAGGCAGGACAAATGGGTCCACCTGCCCAGCACAGCTGTGGGGAGGGAAGGCCCTGCACACAAAGACTTTGTAGACCAAGTCAGATGGTTACCCTTGGTTTAGAAGTGTAACCACACAAGGAAGGACATACAAAATGCTCTGTGGTCCTGCATCAGAGGTGGAGGACAAGAAGCTTATGCCACTTTATCAGCTGTGTCCATTCCCAAGGAGTAAACCTGAACCTCAGTTAAACGCACCATTATATAAGCACTGTATTGAAAAACTATGACTGCCAGTAGCCTTTCTTGTTCTACATGTACAAATCCGATGCAAATAACCACCTAGAATTTCCCCACAGATCCAACAGCGGATTTCCACTTTATAAAACTACCGACCCAAACATCAGCCTCAGTGGCTGCTCAGGGGTTTGCATATGCAAACCCTGAGGGATAGAGGCAGGATGACTTAGCTAAAGAAAGCACATGCACTAGGTTGAGAACATTAGCCACAGGCATTAGCACAAATTGGCCACAGGCATTGGCACAGGCATTCAGGCTTTAGCCACAAATTATGTTGACATTTTGAATCTCTTGTCTAAAGCCTTCCCAAATTCCTGTGATATGTTGGGCCAGGCTGACAGGGATGGTGACAACACCAAAATAAAATATTAGAAGAGTTTGGGTTGAAAGGGACCTTTAGAGGCCATCTAGTCTAACCTTACATGAGCAGGGACACCTTCCAAATTGACAGCCTTCATATGCTGGGAGCCCCAGAGGTGAATCCAACACTCCAGGTGGGGTCTCATGGGGGTGGAGTAGAGGGGGAGAATCACCTACTTGTCCTGCTAGCTGTGAAGCCCATGATATATTTGGGTTTCTGGACTGCCAGCTCACATTGCCAGGTCATGTCTAGCCTCTCAGTAACCAGTACCCCAAATCTTTCTCAGCAGGGCTGCTCTCAATATCTTAATCCCCCAGCCTGTGTTGATACTGGGGGCTGCCTCAACCCAGGTGCAGCATCTTGCACTTGGCCCTGTTGAAACCCTTGAGCTTCCCATGGACCCACTTCTTGAGACTGTAAATAAATCATGGTTTTGTATAGTATCAGAGAATGAGCATGTGAGAGATTTCTGAATTTTGCATAATTCCACTGGGGAGGTACACTGGATCTGCCAATCACACCAATTTGCAGCATTTATTCTCACTGCTGCATATTGCAACCACAACAGAAAGTTTTGCTCCTAAGTTTTGCTCCAAAGTTTTGATCTTCAGAAGTCACTTGAGCAGGCCTTAAGAAAGTAGCCTCTTTTGCTCACTCTTCTGATCAGCTGGGCAGTTTCTCACCAGAGATATGAAAAGATGGGAGAAACAGGCCAAACAGCTGCATTTGTACCATCATGATTCTCCTCCATCACCCACAGAGGCGCTGAACTGAGTGCATCAGCAGCCATGCTCTGGCTCATCCCCAAGCCAGCAGGGCTGACAACTAATGCAAACACAGAGGAACAAAATTTCTGCAAGAACCACCGCTGCAAACCAAAACTCCTTGTCCTGAGCAAATGCAGGTGTCTGGTTTTCAGAATGGCTCTGGTTCCTTGGCCATAGAGAGGGGTGGA